AGCAGCCCAGCCTGAGGAGGAGGAAGAAGGGGGCGAAGGAGGAGAGTGGCGAGGTACCTACCTGGCTATGGTGGACACCATCTTCATCACCTTGTTGGGCGCTGCATCTGGAAGGCCCCAGTTGGGGTAGTGCCGCACCAAGGAAGCTCGAGGCAGAGTCAGGCATGGCGGCTTAGTCAGCAGCAGCATTGCTGCTTTGGGTTGCCCTTTGGACAGGAGTGCAGCGCCATAGCTGCTTTGTGTTGTCCTTTGCACAGAGAGGGGCAGAACCCTCAGTTGTCCGCCATAGCCTAGGCTTGTGAGAGGTGGAAGAAGAGGGGAAGCCATAGCTATGGTGGACCAGTTGTTGTTGTGTCAGCAGTAAGAGGGAACTTCGGACATTGATTCTGGGTCATCCACTCATTGTTATTATTATTATTATTGGGAGAAGAATAAGATTGGCGAAGTGAAGGAGGAGGAAGGTGGAGAGAGAAGGGGGATTTGTCATTGCTCTTGCTGGTGTACATCTTCTTCTTTCTCTCTTCTTTGGTCTCTATCTCTTTGCAAGTGCTTTCATTTCTTTCGCATTTGGGTGGCATTGTCTTTCATTGTGAATGTGCACTTTGGGAATGACCAGGATCGTAACATCGACTATGAACTGTGATTTCAATGTCCCGCCCCTGACTCCAACACTAGGTCGCGTACAGCTTTGTATTCTTCATGCAGAGCACAAACCCGACATTATCTTGGGGTTTGAACCCCGTGTCATCATCTCAGGGATGTAGCAACTCGTGAATCACAAAACAAAAGGTAGTTCATTTACTTGAATTTATCAGATTTTATCTACTATACGTGCATGTCAAATTTAAGTAATGGGCCAATGGCATACTGAGAATTTTCAATTTTTTGTAATGTCAACCACTCGATGTGAGATATTAAAAACTCTGTAGTGTTGAAAATAATAAAATGAAATGTAGAGAACTTGTAATGTCATCCACTCGCTGAGTATGACATATTCCGAGTTCAAGGTTAAGAGAAGTGACTAGTGTGCGCACTTGGTGAGTCTAAAGAGAAGTGGCGAAGATCACAAGGCTTGATCAGTAGGATGGAGAAGCAGAGAAGTTCTGTGACTGATTGAAACACAACCCAACAAAACATCAACATGTTCCCATACACATGCCACGATGACAAAGCAGCTTGGAGAGGGAATTCACACCACACCAGACTGAGATACGCACAATGGAAGCTCAACAATCGATTAGAATTGAAGGGGAGATCAATTTACAGTCCCTCGCCTCTCTCCAGTTAAATCAGCGCCACAAAGAACCCAAGAACCTCAATCGAGAATGAACGACCTTGAAGAAACTCAGAACAGAGCTTCAACAAGCTTCTGGAGTCTTCCTCCTTCCTCCAGTGTTATCCTCCCTCCTGCTGGCTATGGTGCTCAGCCTGAAGCACAGCGCCCAGCCCTGAGAGCTGCAGACCACCAGTGCCTACCTCGTCTTGCCTTAACAGCCCCACTCGCAGTGTCACAGCGCTGGGCCAGAGACCTCCCAGAGTGCACAGTGCCAGCTGCAGGATGAAGAAGGAACTTCCAGCTTGAAGACGAAGACCAACTGTTGCCACGAAGAAGAAGAGATGGCAGCACCTAGCCCCAACAGCACAGATATGGTGTCACCAGGCCCAGCAGCTGAAGGGCCTGCGTCATGGCTCCACAAAACTCCTGGTGAACCATGGCAGCAGCTTCCCAGCTACAGCACTGTTCCGGCAGCCTGGCTTCATCAAGGAAAGCTCCAAACAGCCATTTGCCAACTGAAGACCAACAGGTCCAAGACCCCTAACACGACGGCCTGACTCTATTTATAATTCTACTCTGAAATCCCGGACTGAACTCCTAGGGCCTAGGACAGCCAACAGTTATGGGCCTGTGTTTTCCAGTATCAGCGGTACTGGTCCGAGGCAGTATTTAGGACCAGTAGTACCAGTTTAACAGTAGTTTTTACAGAAATGAGGTAGTACCAGTTTAACAGTAGTTTTTACAGAAATGTGGCTTCGGCCTGTTTCAGTTACCGTTTAGGACCCCGGACTCAGAAAAATTACAAAAATGAGCCAGCTAAGGTCACAGCCCTCTGAGAGACTGCAAGAAAATTGCGTTCCTACCCTCTTGGGAAGTGAGGACCTCCAAGCTGGTAGTGGCCCGGAGGTAAGCGGTGGGGCAGCGAACCCTTTTGCTTCGCCTCATGTGCGTGTACGATGGACTTGGCCACCTTGAGAAGTTCCTTCCATGTGAACCACGGCTCTAAATGTGTGATTGGAAGAGGATCTTCACAAAATACTGACAGTTGGGGCGAGGCCTCAATGTTCTGCACTTCATATCCCTTTTCGGGGATAGGCGGAGCAAGTTGAGGAGACCTGGTTGGGAATGCATCAGAAGGTGTGAAAGGCAACAACTTTGATGCGTCAAAGACAGGCTAGGTTTCGAGATGAGGTGGAACATCCAGTACACAGGATGGACCGAGGGGATCAGTTCGAACTGTCTCTAGTACCTGCCATGGACCATAATACAAGGGCAATAACTTCCGAGAGATATCCACTTTGCTAGAGAACAAACCCAATGTCCTGGTTGGATGGTGGAAGGCAAGCGTATGTATTAGCCTATTCAGTATTTTTTTTCAGGCTTCATACTTGTTAGTCCTTGCCTTGTCTAAGTCTTGCTCACGAACTCTCTAGTGCCGTGAGTTCATTTGGGTTTAGCCTTGTCGATGATTCCGTCGAGGGGTTGTCCTGAATCTCTACCGCAATGGAGTCGATAGGGCGTGAATCTAGTAGTGGTATGGATCGAAATGTTATACATAAGTTGAGCCCTGGACAGTTGTTTGTCCCAATCCTGTTGATCAGGGGTGATCACAGGTCTCAGCAGCTGGAACAGAATCTGGTTCATCACCTCAGCCTATCCGTTCGCTTTAGAATGTCTGCCAGATGTGATGTCCAAGCGAGAATGGAGATAGTCATTGTAGTAGGACTGCCACTCATCGATGCAGAATCGTGGGTGTCCATGGGCACTCACCCACCTCTCAAAGAAGATCTCTGGGATCAGAGAAACTCTTGCCTTGGCTGGCGAAGGAATGAACTCCGCGTACTTAGAAAACCGATCAATGCAGACCATGACCTGTCTCATCTGAGGGGTGACCTTGTCGAGGTTAATGAAGTCAACGACACTGACTTGTCAGGCCCATCTGAAATAGGCAATGGTTTGAGCCGCCCCATCTCACACGTGTCTAGATACCTTAGAACATCCTTCTTCATGTCCAGCCAATGGAATCGTTGGACCAGGGCCATGTAAGTCTTCATGAATCCAAACTGGCCGCGAACATCATGACTCTAAACCATGACGTGAGTCTTCATCTTGCGGTCATCTGGGTTAAACAAACATCTTATCTTCGTTGCTGACCGTGTACAAGTTTGAAGTCAGTGCATACCCTGACTCATAATTGGGGTTCGTTTGTAGATTCTTAGAATGGGGCCAAAGACGGGGTCCGGAGGCAACGCATGTGTGATGGCCTCCCTCATGGAATTCTCAAACGAGTAAGAGTGAACAGTGGCAGTATCAGGTCTGCAAGAGTTCATCTGCAACCCTGTTATAACATCATTTTTTGTGCTTCAGTTCAAAGTCAAAAGCATTTATGAATTGAATGTACCTTCCCAATTTATCATTCAACTCCCTCTAGGTCGAATGGCTAGAGTAGATATTGGAGCGTCTCCCCAGTAAGAAGTTTTTCCATTGCATTAGGGCACATACAAGGGCATATAATTCTTTCTCATGAGCGTTAGTCTGTATCCTTTGGACTTTTTTCTTACTCATGAATTCCACAGGCTTCAGGCCAATCCCACTGGATTTCTGTCGTTTTGCTATCGCTCATTTTGGTTGCAGACTTGTCACCTGTCCATAGAGTGGACACCAAATAAACCAACAGCGCAAAAAAAAAGTAAGAAAAGGGGCGTCAAATCCGAAGGCAGAAGTGTGCTTTCAACTTTTCATGCAAAATTCACTATTTCCAGTTTTCAGGATTTTCAGGATTTTTCAGGGCTAGCCAACACAATTAACTCCAAGACCCCAACAAATACCAAGCTTGGCACACACAGACCTTGACAAAAAATAAAAGAGGGCAAAAAAAAAAAAAAAACACAGAAAAAACTAAAAAAAATGATCTTCCATACCCTTTTCAGGGTAGAGGGGTTAACTTGGGGCTGAAAAGTAGCGGTACATGTTAACCGCTTATGAAAACAGTTGGCTCCAAGACCCCAACAAACACCAAACTTGGCACACACAGACCTTGACCAAAAATAAAACGGGGCAAAAGGAAAAAAATCAGTGCTGCAAACCCGGTAGGACCGGGGGGCCTCCCCCAACCGGAACCGGACCGGTCCTACCGGCCGGTCAACCGGGCCGGTTCCCCCCCGGTTGGCCGTAGCACATCATTTTTATTTAATTAATTAATTAATTCATTTTATTTATTTATTTATTTATTTATTTTTTAAAGCCCATGGTTTGTAGAGGCCCAGGACTAGACCCACGATGATCACTGGCAGCGGCAGCCGGTGGTTGTCTGTCACGATAGGCCACCTTCCCTACCCTTCCCCACGTTAATGCTCCCAGCGCACCACCTATCCCTACTATCCTATCTCAGTGTGACGAGCACTCAGGACTATCACCCTACCAGTATCGAGGGCAACTTGAACCAGACAACAGGGACAAGCACCCCCTAACACCATAACTTCCACCCCCCTTTTTCAAAGTTTTTTGGTGGGAAGTAACGTCCCTACCCTGCCACTAACACCCCAGCCCCCTTTTCAAAGTTTTGGAAGGAAGGTTAACGTTTGCAGAGAGCCAGGTACGTTGTTGTCAATGTCTTCTGAGCCCGTACTTGCTAAAACCCCACCACTAACACCCTCACCATAAACCTGCAGTAACCCTGTTCAGAAGTAGTCTGGGGCCCAGAACTCAGCCCCAGGCAACGCAGACCAAAGTTGGTCTGCGTTGGGCTGTGTGACCAGGACACGCCCAGGCCTGAGTCTGTCGCGTTTGGCTGTGTGACCAAACGCTGCACCCAGGAAAGTCAACAGTCAAAGTGAATTGTAGAGTCAAATGTACCGCGCCCAGGCCCTTGGTTGGATACACTCACTTGTTGTGCGCAGGTACCCAGACAAGCATCCAGGCCGAAGGGAATTCAGTTTCAGGCCAATCCGGGCCTTACATCAAGATCTGGACGGCTAAAGGTTGCAGCATCCGGGGTCCAGACCCCGAGCTACTTAAGCGTTGACCTTCCTGGCTTTGAAATTCATTCTGTCTTGCGTTGATGCTGACTTCAGGCGTTGACTTCAACGCTGGCTCGACGCTGCGACGCTGGCTCGACACTGCGACGCTGGCATTGTGATTCGGCGAGGCGCTGCTGGTCCGGCATGGTGGCTGGCTTGCACCTGTCTTCTTGGCATGCTGATGTGGCAGCTGCCATGCGCTGTCGCTGATGTGGCTGCTGCCACGTGTATCATTGGCTGACGTGGCTGCTGCCACGTGTTCTTCTATTCGTTGGCGAAGCGAAGCTACGTGACTTGTATTGCTGTTCTGATTATCGTCATTCGGGAGGAGATCGGGACTGTGGAGAGATCGTGGATACGTACCTGGTTGTCTTCATGTCGACATTGCTCCAGCATTGATGAGGGACTGATTAGACGTGCCACGCGGCACATTGAGGTTACTTCAAATACTTGTTCAGACTATTGATTATTGAGGTGGTGATTGAGGAGGGAGCCCGAAGTAGGAGGGGGCCTTGTATTTATTTCCTCTCCTTTGTCTAATCTCCCTCCTCTCTCCTTCGTCTGTGTATGATTATCTCTTCTCATTCTGTCTGGACACGATTTTGACTATTGGTAATCATCAGCTGGTTGATATTCTTCTGGGCTTGCATTGTTAACGATTGTCTTCAGATTCTGGGTTCATTGCAATTTGGTATCTGAGTAGTTCTCCTGACGACGACGATTGTACACGTGTGCACGCGCCAAGTGGCGCACAGGTAAGTGTGGTGCACACGTGTGTTGAGTAGGTGATGACGTGGCAAGAGATACGCTGGAGGTATTGACGTGGCACAGACTTCACTGGCGAGAAGACACCACCGGGGTTACTCCACTGGCGAGAGGAGATCCCAACGAGGCTGCTGACGTGGTAGTAGGGACCGCGACCAAGAGATAACGAGCGCCAGCCTGGATCGCGATAGTGACGTGGCATCGCGATTCCCTGCTGACGTGGCATATGTTGTGCCACGTCTGAAGACCTTGTTGATTGATTGCTGAAGTGGCACTTTTATGCTGCTGACGCGCGATAGGGTCTACCGCAGATGTTGACGTGGCCTTGGGGAAACACAAGATTGATTGTTGACGCGGCAGGAAGCAAGTCATCACACCTGTCTTCGTGAGGTGGTGACTACCTGCGGACGTGGCATCGGTCTCCCTGGCTGATGTGGCATTGTCTGACTGGTTGGAATGGCAACAGTATCGCGACGTGACGTGTGGAAGTGACAAGTGGCAAGGATCGGAGTACACATTTGCTGACGTGGCATCCCGCTATTGGTTGGCTGGACAGAGAGTGTTGACCTGGCAGTACATGCTATGTTGGCACTCGAGGGATGACATGTGGCAGGTAGGATTACTGCCAAGTAAGAGAAGCATTCTGAAGACGACGGCGGTACAGCTGACTGACAGCTGTAGTGCCAGCTGTCAAGGAGAGTGCATCATCGCATTGACATCAGGAAGACACAGCGGGTGGAAGAAGGTTGCTGACAAACTGTTTGATGTTGTTGTTGGCATACTTGCCTTGTCGTTGCTGTGTTGTGGTGCTTGCGTACTTACTTGTGTGTTGTGGCTGATCACACGGGCTTGACGTGGTACCTGTACACTCATAGGACGTCATCACACAGACGAAAGAACAACAATTAGTAGAAGTTGAGATCTGTTCCTTTTTATTATTTCTTTCTATTTTTTTGTTCCATTATTGCAAGTATTTTCTCAAACCTGATTTCCAAGATGTTTAGTGTATGGAAATTACTCTTGCTTCTTTTTTCGATGACATTCTTAGTGGGTGAAGGATCTTCCGAACCCAAGACTAGGAGACAGGCAGAGACAAAGAAACAAGAGTTACTGGCTCTATGGGACCAGCTAATGAATGATTTGCGTTTGTCCGGACCGGAATCCGAACGACACGTCTGTAATCTATTTGATTTGAAGACGGTAGAGAACCGTCTAAAGCAAGCAATTACGGTCGCGGAAGTTGTGGCTACCGGAACCGAAGTGTCTAAAATGATGGCCCAGTGCCGGAAGGCGCTGGACCAGTTTGCTATCAAGCAGCTGGAAGAAGTCATGGAGTTGTCTAGAAAAGGGGAAATCAAACCAGAAGTGACCGAGGCTACGATTGACGTGAACATCCAACAATTAAGAGAGGCGCTGGCTGCAGAAGAAAGGAAGAAAGAAGAACTAGTCCGGAAACATGAGCAGGAATTGAGGCGGGGATAGAAAGTGAAAGAAATCAGACAAGTGATAGGAACAAACTGACATGACACAGACGTATCACATCATGACTTACCTTACCTTCTTGGAAGGAAAGATAGACAGACAACAAAGTCAGTTAACCGAGATTGTTGTAGGATTGCGAACCATCACAAATATTGTGAAAGGAAAGCATCCAGTAGAAGGAGAAGAAGAAGTTAAAGAAGAGAAGAAAGAAGTTAAGAAGTTAATGAGTGATGCAATGAAGTCTGTTGATCCTCAGGATCAGAAATTGTCTATTGGAGGGGGGAAGTTGTCTAATGGAGGGGGATCAAGTCCGCCGTCTTCTCCACCAAACACTCCTCCTTCCACACCTCCTTTCTCTCCACCTCCAAAGTCTCCAGCTTCTCCGCAAGGTAAGGTAAGTATAGAACCGGAGAAGCCGAAAAGAAAAGAAAAAGTGAAGATGAAATTGCCTTTTACATTTTGCAACAAAAAGGATGAGAATTTGTTGCTCCGGATAGCGGAAATACAGACATATTGTGGTACGGCCCCTGTCGAACCCGAGTCCCAAGTTGCTTTCTCCACTTCTTGTCTAGGGGGGGAAGATAAGGAATGGGTACTGGCCGAAGCCAATGCTGCAGGTTTCAATGACATTGGTGAGTGGGCTGCGACGTTGAACCTGAACCAGTTCCTTGGTAAGATCAAAAGAACGCTTTTTGGATAAGACAACGACCGATAAGGCCTTTGACCAGCTCACCACCATTGGGCAAAGACATTGGACCTCAGTGGAAGCACTGTCTCGAGAAGTTGATCGGTTGCTGCAGGTTCCTGGATTGAACTGCAAGACAACCAAGTTTTGTATATCTATTCCCGCGCTCTGCCCGAGCCCATTCGTGGACAACTCG